TGCAGGAGTTAGAGGAAATTTACCTGAAATTATCAAGTGGGATAATAAAACCACATCATTAGAAACTATCAAAAAATTTCAATTAGATGAGACTAATGTTTCTGGAAAATATTCAGTGGAAATAAAAAAAAAAGATGATGTTGAGGTTAAAATAATTTGGCACAAGGTTAATTTAGATATTCAATTTACTGCAATGGCAAAAATTAAGGGATTTTCTGACCGTTTAAGGAGAAATGGATCTGTAGCGAAAATGGAACAAGCAGATGCCAATGCTACATTATGCTTCTTAAGAAATTCTGGTTTCGAAGGAACAATTATTGGCACAGAAGGAAAAAATGTTTTAGTTGAAATTACTGGTAATGTTAATATCCAAGGCGCCTTAAAATATGAAATAGAAAATTCCAGTATTTTTCTTCCCAGTTTTAATAGTGCAGTTGATGACCACGTAGATGATGACCACGTACTTGTCTAATATGGTGTTGGTACTGTTATAGTGCAAGAAAGTTCAATTCAATTATTATTTTTTTTAAAAGTTTATCTTTTTTTTTATCAATTTTATCTTTTTTTTATTTAATTTATGTTTTTATCTTAGTCGTTCATTTATTATTTCTATATTACGATCATGGTTTGGTTTTAACTGTTGACTTGAGCAATAATTATAAAGTTTATCTTTTTTTATTTAGTATATATCAATTTATCATTTTGTATTTATCTTGGTCGTTCATTTATTATTTTTATATTATGATCGTGGTTTGCTTTTAACTATTGACTTGAGCAATAAAATTACAAACAAGTTCCTCGTTCTTTATCTATTATTAAATTTGTAATTTTGCCGGTCTAATAGTGCGGTTTATCTGATCCTAATTTAAGTTCAATAATCTAGTAAACAGAAATTAAACCTAAATTACTTCAATATTGGATAACGAAATCTTGTTTTAAAATGTAAATGACTTTTAATTAGGGTTCGGAATGGGCCGGGTCGGGTTTGGACCCGAGCCCGGCCCATTAAATTATAAACCCAGCCCAGATCTAGCCCAATAGAAAAGTTAAGCATGGGCCGGGCCGGGCTAAACTCTAAAACCCGACACGATAAAACCCAATAAAAACAAGTGCACGCGCGACCCGGCTGGCCCATGTTAATTGATTTTTCAAAGCCTATTGTTATTTATAAAGCCTGGGCTCAGCTCAAACCCGGCTTACTATTAGCCCGGCCCAATCTGGCCACTATTTTTTAGGCCCGGTTTAAACCCGGCCCAGTATTTTTAGGCCCGGTCCGTACCCGGCCCAATTAATTACGAGCTTGAAATTTTAAGTTTGGGCCCAGCCCAACCCATACAGTTCTGGGCTCGGCCCGGCCCATTCCGAACT